AAAAAGTATATAAAGCATATTAGTACTGGTATCAATATAGATATAAATTATCTATTGTAATAATTACTTTTTTTGACTACTATTCTTTTTTTATAATCTTCATCACATGATTATTGCAGTTATTATCAAGAGGATATTGAATCTTTTTCCTTTTTTCATTATTAGCAAGTTCATCATCTGTTTTTGATATCTCATCACTGTGATATTCACTTTTGGCTACAATTTTTTTTATATTGTTCAGAGCTTGATGCTCTGAAATATCATGTAGGAAAAGGTTTTTTAGTTGTTCACTTTTACTTTGGTGGATGTAGGTAAACACCTTTTTCTTCTGATTGATTTTCTGAAAATATATTTAAAATTTTACCAATAGTGATATAGTTAGTACATTAATATAATGAAAACAAAAAATTCTTACTGCTGTTATTCTTTGTTGTTCTCTATTTTTTCTACATTCCTGCTTTTCTTTTTCCAGATTTTGCTGCACTAAGTATTTTTCTCATTGGTGCTAGTGGTGCTTCTTTATAATTTTTAATATTTGAACATCACTAGCATGATACTTTTGGACATCTCTTTTGATAAGTTCTAAAGGAACTTTTGTTTAAAATCTATCCACAATTTCTTGGAGTCTGGTTGTATCAGCTCATTAAGCTCTTCAATGGATATTATAATATCATTCTATTATAATAAATTAAAATAAATTAATAAAAATATATAGAAACAACCGATATCTATATAAGTGAGAAATCAATAAATCAAAAATATATAAAATACCCGATATTCATATATATATATAGACGATAAATTCAATAAATCAAAATATATGAAAATACCTAATATCTTTATTTGCTAATGAGAAATGAAAATAACCTAATATTTGTATATACTCTTAACAACTTTTTTGTTTTAGGTGACAATTCCCTACAACTTTTTTTTGAGGTTTTTCTTGTTTTTCTACCTCTTCTTTTATTGCTGTAGCGGTTGTCATTGTTGCTGCTGCTATCATTGCTACTATTGTTGCTGTTATCATTGCTACTGTCATTGCTGTTATCATTGCTGTTGTTATTACTACTACTGCTGCTATCTTGTTTCCAGGCCTTTTTTCTTGAATTTTTGATAAATTCATCGATTTTACTTTCCAGTTTTTTTATCTCATTTCTTAATACTTTTATATCATTTATAATAAAAAAACAAAAAAAAAAAGTTAAAGCCATTCAAAGCCATTTACTTAACAAAAAAAAACGTAGAGTCACACTTAACATGAATATGCATATGTACTACCAATTTATACCCAATATATAATCTGTTATCTTTATTAGATAATTTGCTTCTTTGAGGTGGCAAAGAAAAAGATAAAATGCTAAAATAGCTCATTGTTAATAGTTTTTTTATCAACTATATTTAAAGTAATAGGTAAGTTTTTTATCTATAAGAAAAAATAATATAAACTATTTATTTATTTGTTTATTTTTTTTTTATTACCTTTCATAAAAAAGTAGAGAAGAGAAAAAATATATTACACAAGTGTTATAACCTTCTCTTATATAGATGTTGAAAAAAAGATATAATGCATCAAAACAAAGCGTGTAATATCATCAAAACAAACTTCTGAGATTAAATTTATAATTTACTAGACATAATCTCTAGATTATGTTTAGTAAGTTATAAATTAAAATTCTGAAGTATTGGTGATCTTATGGGGTATAGTAATTACTATATATTTTCAAAGCAAAATTTCTTGAACATGTACTAGGATTGTTCTGAACTTAAAAATTAAAGCATAACCTTTTAGATATATATCGGTATTGTTCTGGACTTGATATTGCTACAAATATTAGGATTCAAAATAGGCTGGGTTTAGTAATTTACAAATTTATATGACCTTATGGTATCAATATATACTGTATTTATTTTATATATATAATAATTTATTAG